AATTTGAAAGAAGCGTGCGCTCTCGAGAGTGATCAGACCTCGCATCCTCCCTCTTTTTGTCGGCAGGACCGTATTGTGAATTGGGCCCCTTGGATACCCCACAATTTTTTTTTTTTCCATATATAGGGTAGTGGCGATGTAATATTTCTTCCTTAAGGGGGAAACGTAAAAAGTGCAAATTTTGACGATTAATAATCATTCTTACAGAAATCTAATACTGATAGGCTAAGTATTTATTTTAAGTATTAAAAGCATTGGTGTTTCGTACTCTTAGTAGTATTATAATTGCTGTGTTTTTTAGTAATAAATTGTTCAGTATTAGATTGGCCAGTGTTAAATTTCTGTGTTAGAATGAGAAATTTTTGTTCTAGAGAAGTTATATGATTATATACTACTTAGAAGTGTATATCTAAATTGATCGGTTCTACGATATACACAGCGATACATTTAATCATTTGCCTACTAATATTAGTCACAATAACAATGAAAAACCAAGCATAAGTTATTTAAGCTGATTAGAATGTTATTGGAAGTGGTAAATGTCAGTAAATGTATAAAATGAAAATCGATGTCAAAATTTTGCGTAATGTACAAAGAAAAATATTGTCCACTCGGCTTTTTATTATTTGTATAATTTCATTTTTAATTGCCCGATCAAGATATATTTGTTATTTCAAAATTTTATAACACTGAAGATTACTATGTAAAAAAGATCGAAACATTTGTTTTTTATAGTAAATTGTAATAAAATTTCGCAAATGAAATTTCGCAATATCCAGCGGGGCTCGAATAGTCTTGAAAAATTGGTTGTTTGGAATGTATATTTTTTACTCGTGTATATATACATATAAGACAGAAGATATTGAATATCTTGGAAAAAGAGCACACAGAGTCAATAAATTAGATGAATTATAAAATTAGTATTTGATTTCTTAACGCGCGAAATAAAACAAATTGTCGTAACTATTATTTTCGACTTGTGTAAAGAGATCGCTTTTGTAAATAAAGGACTTATTTATCATTCTAACGTCCAGTCACATAATTTAAATACGGAATATCGTATCATGCGCGATGAGCAGGGTTATCTATCGAATTAGATACTGCCCTACGACGTGGTGCTCATGCTTTCTACGTATAGCGAACTGCGCAGATACGTCATCGAGCAAGAGCGTCGTTCAGTGGAGCGAACGTAGGATACATGTACCTACAGCTTATATTTCAGCTTGTAAAGTTTTTCGCGCTCTTTCCGAGCGCGACCTCCGTGTTCGACAGTGACACGTGAACTTGTCGTGACGACGAAAATGATTCGCCGATTAGACCCGAACGAAAATCGGCTTCATGCGTGATTAGGAAGATAATAACAGAAAGAAAGAGATAGAACAAGAAAGATAAAGAAAGAAATGTTCTCGTGGACGCGGCTTAAAGACCATCAGGTACGATCAGGAGTGGATCAGATTGATCGAGATTCCCTGCGCCCATCGCAAATTCATAACAAAGAATTAAATCACGCGTGTCATATATTTTGTTCTTCTGTGTTTCTACAAATAAATTTAGGACGATGTATATTCGTCAGTTTGACGTTTTGATTTTATTTTACAAAAGTACATTTTTTAATATTTTTATTTGGAAATTAACCTTTGACTCTCTTCCTTTCATCTACAAAGATTTGAATAAAGATACGAATAAATGTTCTCTGTGGAAATACTGACTTTACTTGAAATCCTTTCCATGCATTAAACACATAAAAATTGATGGTTCTTTGAAAAAATTTTCTTAAAGATAGAAACAAGCAATTTTTCTCGGAATTTATAGAAGCGAATAAAGACGCACTGAAAGATAATCGATTACTTTTTTCTTAGCTATTATATTCGATTGTTCTAATCATTTATAAAGAGATAAAATTGAAAAAAGAGCCTTTTGTTTACAAAAAAATGTGGTTTCTTGGAAGGTGTTTAAGAGACTGAAAATGTTATTGAATACGCAGATATGACCTCAAAAATTGTCTCTCATGTATGTATAAAGTTTCTAAGAAAGAAGGGGTTGAGAAATTTTCTAAAACGTGTTCTTGGCCATTTTTCATAAATTCATAACGCATAAATCAAATGTTCCAGCAACTTTAAAGTTGGAACCTTTATCTTTCTAAGAAAGTCAAAAACTAAAACAATGAAAGTGGAAGCTGTGATAATCTGAATGGATAGGTATAAGTCTGCTATTTCAAATTTTTGAAATCTGACTTTAGATTCGTAATCGGCGACCCAAAAAACTAAAATTGCAAGACTTCACAGGAACTCGTCAGGTAGAGAAAAATGTATGTCCCTCAAAGGGTTAAATTATAATCATCCATCACACACATAAATGATATCAAGTTTCATCACAATCACTCTAAGCTAAGATTACCGAATCACAAGAAGAGTACATATATATATATATTTTTTTTTTTAAAGACGATCCGGGAAGAAAGAGGTATATTTTTTATGTATAAAAAATGTAGGTATTTAATAAAATAAAACTTCTAAAACATAATCTTTTGTTGGCATTCTTATTAATATAATTTTCTAAATATAAAATTTTAAGCATTAATATTCCAAGGAGAACGAAACAATCAAAATAACATCAATTTGACATCATATTGACCGAATTTAGTCATTTTTTTTCATCATGATAAAAATCTCGATCTCAGATGATAAAATAAAAAGAATGACAGTAAAAAAAAGTCAATATAAAGTCATTTTTAAGTCATTTGAGATCGAGATTTTTATCATGAATATGACGTCAAATTGACATTATTTTGATTGTCTCGTTCTCCTTGGATTAAGTTAAATTATTCTAACACACGCTCGTAAGATTGCAAAAGCAATGAAAAAAATAAATTAAATCAACAAATTTAAACGGGCAACTAATACAACGACACATTGATTATTTATTCTACTATCCTTATTCTTCTTATAAAATATGTACACGTACGTTTTGGACTTTATTTACAAAATTTCATTAATGAACAGAAGTTGTACGACCTCCAAAAGTACTCTCTCTCTTAGGCCGGAATCAGAGAGATTATACTCATTGAAGGTTGAGATGGAGAATTGAAATTTGATCAATGAGAATAAGGGAATTTTAGCTTCTATTATTTTGATTGGTGAAATTTCAATCTGTCAATCTTCAATCTCCTCAATTTTTAATGCGTAGTCTGATTCCAGCCTTAAGGATACGGTATTACGATAACCCTATTTCTAAGCATCACTTTCCGCAGGGTACGGCCCTGGCGCAGTAATGCGTCCGTCGTCTAGGTTGAGAACCTCCGGAGTGTGTTTCCAATCCCGAAGGCGATGTCCAGTGCTGCGTTTCGTCGTCGTGGTGGTCGTTTCTGCGCCGCTCGTGTGTACCCGGTGACTCGACGATCGCGGCGTTACACTTATAACGTTTTCGTCTAGGAGACGCGAGCGTCTCGACCCGCACGATTTCCGGTAGCGGAACTGTCTCGCTCGTGTGTCCGCGGATTACGCGTGCACGTAATCCTTGACTGTAACGTCGTCAACGACGACGACGACGTGCGTGAGCGTGCTCTCGCGACATCGACGAAGTGAGACGTCGCGAGTTTGCGTGTTCCGTGTGTGCTGCTGCCAAAAGAAGGAAAGAAAAACGGAAAGGGCGCAAAAGGGAAGGAGAGGACGAACGTAGGAGAGAGTTTCAGCGCGTCATGTGTCCGTGATTTTTGTTGAAAAAAAAAACAGAGAGAGAGAGAGAGAGAAAAAACAAGGTGCGAAGAGGAAGAACGTTCCTACACAGCGAGAAGGACGGAGATACACGAGATCCGATATAAAGAGCGCGGGAGGAAAAAAGAGAGAGAGAGAGAGAGAGAGAGAGAAAGAGAGAGGGAGAGAGAGAGAGAGAGAGAGAGAGAGAAAGGCAGAAGTGGCGGCGCCGCTTCTTTTCGCTTGTCGTTCTCGAGGGAGGGCGGAGGAGAGAGCACCTCCGTCTCTCTCTCTCTCTTTCTCTCTCGCGTCGAGCGTGTGGTTGCGATCCCTCCGCTCCACCGCCCCCCTCCCCCCTCCCGTCCGCGCCGCCGCCCCCCCCTCGTCCGCTCCGCGCGCACTAGTGGCAGGGAGAGGACAGTAGAGGAGGCGCGCGAAGACGGATCTCCACGGAACGCGAGCGAGGGCGCAATTCGAGGTAGAGGAGGACGTGAGTGGCGCGAAGGAAGAGAAGAGAGAAGCGTCGTCGCGGCATCGGGACGCCCGGCGGCTGACTACTACCTGCTGACGGTGGTGTGGTGTGCCGGGTCCGATTGAACGCCGCGCGAGCGCGCGCGCGCGCAGTTTGTCACGTTACGTCTTGGTGCTGCTGCTGGCTCTACGGTGCTGTGTTGTTGCTGCCGCTGGTGGTGTTGGTGTTGACGTTATTGGCACTAGCGATCGGCGGCCGCTGCTCCGTGCGTGGAGAATGGGATACATGGCGAGTCGTGCCGTTTAACGTAATAGCGTGTGTCGCCTGCTTTGACGGCGGTGGCGACGACGATCGCAACGACGGCGGCGACGACGGCGGTGACGGTGGTGGC